TTTTTCGATTTAACACAGTTTTCACGGAGAAAACGCAAAATACTGAGAAGATCTCAAAATCGTCAAAAATCTTAGCTTTGAGAAAACTGCGTTTTTCTCCTCGCCATTTCACTTTTCGACCTCACCAATGCGACTTTTAGAGTCCTCATGTAAAAGTAGATCTGTATATGTGGTCTAGAGCCTGATTGAATATAACATATCCGTTCTAGAAACACATAAGACTAAATTACTACCTATCTATCTAGTTTTTCAGTCGAGACATAGCGTCTTCATTCTTATGCCATTCGAATCGCCATTTCGCGCGCAACAAACTAATGTTTCGTTTTTTGTGCTGAGAAAATTTATTTTTTCTAAATCAGAGGCGAAAAAGTTGAAATTCTGCCAGTAATTCTCAATTTTCTCAATTACGTTGCGTCCTAGTGTCGCGCAACCCCAAATGACGATTTTGAGATCTTCTCAGTATTTTGCGTTTTCTCCGTGAAAACTGTGTTAAATCGAAAAAGTTAGGTGATATTCGTGATCAGCAGCTAGTCTGAATCTAGAAATGTATGTTTAAGCTAAAAATAAAATTTGGTGAAACTTTGAATTACCGGTGCCTTATAAAAATAAGAAGAGTAACAAACTCAGTCGGTAACCTCTTTCCCACTACCAGATTGCTATCTTCAGTTGTCATATGATTATCTTCTTCCAATCAACAAAAAAAATTTCAGATTTCAACGCAGAAAATTGAAAACGTTTTTGCTGTCCATTCCCATGAACAAGTATCCAATATTTAGATTTCTTCACAAGCGAGTAATACCTTTATCTGTAAAATGGTTTGTCATTTCATACCCAAAACATATATCTCAGCGTTTGAGAATTAAAATCAGAAGTAACTGATTGTTCCATTTTGAAGAACAGCCAAAGGATTACTATGATGCATAGCAAAGGAAAACAACACGTAAATTTTTGACGTATTTATCTAGATTCAGCTCTATGTAAATCTATAAGGTATACCGACACTTGAGCGCGCACTAGGGCACAACGACCATACGAGCTCAAAACAAACCTGTATGATATTCTGACTAACCGTTTATTTATTACTGAGAACTTAGAAAACTCACATTTCCACTGTATTTACTGTGAGTTTATAACATGGTAAAGTGTTTTGATTCATTCAAAAATCGTTACACTTCTGATACTTTTTAATTGAAAATCTTTTTATTATCAAATAATTTTTTTGTCGAAATAATATATGAGATAAAATAAATCGTTTTTCGTATAAAAAAACCTGAACAACAAAAAATGTGTGCCTGTATGTAGAAATAAAATGCTAGATACATACACATATATATACAAAACTACATAGAAAAAGGTTCTCTAAACACATTAGAAACAGAATAATAAAATCAGATAAGAACAAAATGGTGAACACGTGATATGTATTTTATTTTAGTGAAGAAAACTCACATGAAAACTAAACACACACAGTATTACCGCGATCACAATCATATGATGACGAACATATTGTCACAAATGAATATGAAGTAAAAAGAGATTAGATGAGGATTATACAGAAGAAAAAACAAAAAAAGGTGTAATTTTTTGAGCATAATCCAGTTAAAAATAAAAATCAGATAAGAAAAACGTAAGTTACTATCAAGCAGAGAGTATTGCGCCTTGTATTTGCAATAAAAAGAAAATTAGATCAAACAATTGTTTCATTTGAAAACGCAAAAATTCTATCTAAGATAAAATGAGTTCGTGGTGTTGTTAATAGCAGACGAGACGAAAGAGGCGAATATCTTTTTCGATAATTAACACTAAAACTACGTCGATGTGGTAATAATTTCATTTGATGTATTGATGATGACGAATAACAATTGGCTACTGAATGACGAAACAGAGATTTTGTTTTTCGATGATGATTTTGTGATGAGAGAAATGATTTTAATCGCTGATATGATCGTTGTTTGTTTTGTGGATTAACAAGAAGACAAGATAATGAAGATGATATGGGTAATTTAGAATTTTTTGTATAAGTGTTCACTAATTTATTATGACTAGATTGGTCGTGACTAGAATTTTTGCTGTTAGAATATGTATTTTGGTAATTATTGACAGTTGAAATATTATCTGATGATTTTAAAGATGTTTTCGTTGATTGACAAACTAAAAACATAAAAAAGAAATAAATTATTTATTTATCTTAACAAACCGTTTCATTATTTTACTATTGTCATTATCTCAAAATGTATAATCATTAAAAGATAAATTGTCTATGAATCAAAGCGATTCGAAATTATTTTGCTTTTATAAATTATTTACTTACTCTCACTAATCTTGTGTGTGTTTTTTATTGTGGAAAATGGTGGTGGATAGGATGCAGAAGTAGTAAAATTATCAGTCGCTGCATTCGTATGATTTGAATTTATAAAAAGTTTACTTGGTAATGATCCAATAGATGGTAAAGTTGACGATGATCGTACTATGGAAGGTGATGCTGATATTTGATATGGTTGGGTTGAAAATGGATAAGTGGATGATAATGGTACACCAATTAAATGAGGAAAATAATTGGCATTTGGATAAGATGATGATATTTGTAATGTTAATGCTAATGGTGAAGAGGTAGGTGTTAATGTTTTACTTGAATAATTCTCACTTGGAGCTAATGTTTTTGAACTACATGTTGAGAAAGATTGTTTAGATGATAGCAAATTAGAAGTTAAATAAGAAATTGTTTTACAAAATAATAAATATGTACATGATGTGGAAGAATGATTAAATGAAAATGATTTATATAAATCTTTTGTAAAAGGATAAGAACAATGACAACTGTGAACAGGTAGTAATACGACATCACTGTTAAGTACATCATGTGCTAATTTTTTTTTACAATTATCTATATAATAATTTTGTTCTTTTTCTTCAATTAAGATGGTCTCATCAATGATACAATAATCAATAATTGTTGAACATTGATGACATATACAAGAATTTGAACATGAACATGAAGTAGAAAATAGAAATAAAGAAGGAAGACAATGAGTTAATAAAAAATATTTTAATTCAATTGATTTATCACTGTTATTTAAATTTAATTGTTCATTGTTTTGGTCAATGGTACTGAACCTAGAATAAAAAATAGAAATAAAAATGGATAAATTACATATCAGCAACACTTAGGATAGCGCGAACAATAGGTGAATTAAGCACACAATTCACAAACATAAGCAGTAAAAGATAAAACAGCAAGCAAATGTCAGTGAGTAATTTGTCGATAGGTCAGAATGTGATCTTATAATGGTGAATTCAATTTAGGAGATATAGAACTAAACGAATTGTATTTTAAATGAATTCTACAATAAAGTAAATGTAATTAAAGGTGTAAATAAGATTTTGTTTATTGTTAGAAAAAAAATGTTAGAAAATCAAAGCATCCACGTTGAGTATGCATTTAGAATCGATTGTTTGCTTGACAGATTATGAAAAAAGATACTTGATTATAATGAAAATTAATGATTCTCTTTCGGTGAATATCTGCATATTTATTTCTTAAGCCTTTCTAAAACCCAGTTCAGATGGTCCATCGACATTAGCAAGAAAATTGATTTTAGTAGGGAGTAACGGATGCGCCAGAATAAATGATAGTCTCAATATTTTTGCAGTATCTCGGTCAGTTCACTAAATTTTTCATTTTAAAGATTTACCGTTCAATTCTCTACAAAACCATAGATGAATGAGTGTTATTCATATAAAAGTAAGAAGGTTATTGAAGAAATACTGAAAATATGAAACATCAACAACTTTCTAGTACAAATATGCAAACTAATTTTCGATTTCTTTCCACTAGTAAAATACTTACTCAAAAGCATCAAAGCATCATTTCAAGTACAATCAAGTGTGCTCTCTTTAACGATATACAGGAGAATACGTCAGTTTTTAAACTGCCGATAGAGAACCTAATTTTTGTATTAAAAAAAAAAGCCAGAAATTTGTTATATTTAATCTTCGCGCTTGAACATGGTGAATAGAAAAAAACATTTGTTCGAAATGAAGGCTCACATTTATAGTATGGATCATCAGCTTTCAAATTAAAAAAACTTGATCTCAAAAGTGTAAGTTTCAGCTGAGTTAATTGAGTTTTCCGATTAAAGAGAAAACAACGTTTTAAAAATGTATTGTTTTTGAAAACATGAAAAAAGTAAAGTTTATTTTTATACATTACGATTTAATTTTTAATTTTTAACACCACAAGAAGATAGAACTTCTCAAGCTCTACAAAATGCCTTATTTGATTTTTCTGTATCTCAACACGAGGACAAAAGCAAAAAAATAAATTTTGTGCTAGAAAGTTGTTGATGTTTCATATTTCCAGTATTTCTTCAATAACCTTTTTACATTTCTATGAATAAGACTCATTCACCTATGATTTTGTAAAGACTTGAACGGTGAATCTTTAAAATAAAAATTTAATGAGCAGAGCGAGATATTGAGAAAGTATTGCGACTATCATTTATTCTGCCACATCCCTTACTCCCTTACTAAAACTAATTTTCTTGCTAATGTGAAAAAAATCTAAAACAGTACAAACATTTTAAAATATATCTACACCTCATAGGATAAAAGACTAGTCAATCTTTTATCCTATGAGGTTTAGATATATTTTAAAATGTTTGTACTGTTTGAGATTTTTGTAAATGATCTACTCATAAATGTGACTTCAATAACTGACATATTGACAATTCTCACTGACCGTATGATTTAATAGTCATCCTCTACTTGTTAACAGGATAATCACAAGAACCAACAGTAGTGATGTTATTATTAATAATGTAATTTTCTTGATTATTGCTATTATCATTATCAATTGTTTTGACTATAGCTGTTAGTGATTTAGCATTTAGCACAATATGTTTTTCGTTGTTACTTCTATTGTTTTTGTATCTCTTTGACGACTCATCATCATTATTATTTTCATGTATTTTATACATTAATTGTTCATTGGCATAAACAGAATCAGATATCGATGACAAATGAGTTGATTGATGTGAACGATGATGTCCTTCTGCTTTTCGTTTTGATACATTTTTATTAGTATTAAGTGGATTTTCATCATCATTATCTTCGTCCATATTTAAATATAACGGTTCTTGTAGAGACATCGTTGCACTTGGAATATCGAAAAATGGACGACGTGATGATGATTGTTTAGTACGATATTCAACATTGTTATCTTTTGAATAATCAAGTGGAATTGGTGATGGTCGATTTAATACATTAGAGATTTTACTTAGGAACGAATTATGATGCTGTTTGGTTTTATTTCCGGAGAATGATGAAAATGATGATGAATCTTTTTGTTTCGGATGAGATCGATGTATTTCCTAAAAATAGACATGAAAAACTCAATATTAAGCTTCTTTTCTAAAGCTGTTAGCTTGTTAAATAATCATGATCTTGACATAATAAGCGTCACGATCTATATAATACAAACGAAAGTGTTTGTGAGAAAAAGTACCATTTTCTTAAATTTAATAATTAACTATTGGCTCTTGTAAACCCAACAACATTAGTTAAATTCTTGTTTACAAAGTAGGAGAACAAGATTATAACATTTGGAGGGCATTTTCAAACCTGAGAGTGAGTAAAGGAACAACAATGCTAGAGTGTCAACAAAAACATCCATGGTTCATCACATGTACAGGCATCTGCATTTTAATCTACACTAGTAAATAGTGAAATTTTAATTTCTACTACAATGTATACATAAAAAGAGAGAGAGAGAGCAGACTCTAGGAGGGTATAAGAACAGAAACAGAATAGTTTTGATTCAACGTTATGTACTGTCTATATAGAGAAAAATCTATTGACATTTCTTTCATTATACCTCTTGTTGTTGATCAGAAGTGGATCGATTTAATCGATGTTGTTGTTCAATTGTTTGTTGTTTTGATAGTAATGTTTGTCGATTTTGTTTTGAAAATCGATTATGTGTTGCTTCATTAATATTTTCTTCGCTTGTTGTTTTTCTCAACGGTTTATCTGTTGTCTGATCGAATGATGAACTTTTATCCTGATTTTTTATATCTTTTTCAAGAATATCATCATAAGATTTTGACTTCTGAATATTTGTTCGATTTCTATCGAATATAGGTAATGTTCGATTTCGAATCATTAATGTAAAATCTTTTTTAACATTTGCTCGAACATGATCAGATGGATGAAAACATTGATAATAGACAAACTGGAATAAGACAGCAAACCAAAAACCTGTACAAACAAATGTTACTAATGAATATTTAAATAATAAATTTTTTTCTTGACTATGTACAGCATAAATAACAGAAAATGCAATATTTTCGATGTAATAAACAGTATAAAATGCAATATAACGTTGACGAGTATGACCTTCAGTCAAATTCATATAGCAAAAAATATATATATAAGAACAAACAATATTGTAACATTTTTCAAATATTGCTTCACGTGGGATGTATTTACTTTGATCACTGATACAAAATCCGGTTCTCTAAAAAAAACAATTTAAAAAAGATCAATAAAAATGAAATTTTTATTTTGAAGATAAAGTGTTCTAAACTTACAAATCGTAATATCCAAAATAACATTCCCATCCAATGAGCACAAATAATGATCCAAAACCATGAACGCGAAGATGCAGCAAACATGGCCAATGCTAATACTCTTGGTGTAATTAAAAAGAGATACCATACCCAGTGTATGATAGTAGCCCACCATGTAACGGGTTTTGGTGCTGGTTTATCTTTTGGCCAATCAACTGTTGAATGAGTTAACATCATATGACGTAGACAACGTGAATAGCCACTTAATCCGTAAGCTAGTGCTCCTAAGGATGAGACAATTGATAAACTTTGTTTCAAAAATAATGCATCATCTAAATAAAACAAACAAATACATGATAATATAACAATTGACAAGTACAGGTACCTTTATTAAATTAAAATTAAATAAAGATTTTTGTTTTCATTTCTACTTGTACACAGTCAACTAAGACGTTTTAGTTACTGATATTTTAGAAAGATGATTCAGAACAGTAACTTTTTCCCTCGCATTATTCAAACTGTTCAATAGTTTAAAACCGAAACAAAACGTACATATTAGTGACTTTGAATCTTTCAACATAATATAAAGTTGTAATATCACTTGCGAACCAGAATCCATAAATACATCGAAAACTCTTAATAATGCAATATCAGCATCAATCAATATTTGCTTTGTCAAATAATATCGTTGCCATTCTTTATTTTTTCTATGCCTATAACCTTTGTACGTGTAATATAAACCGCGAATGTATCTAAATTAGAAATATAAAAGAATAGAGTACAATAATACTAGTTTGAACTTTACTTTAAGCAAAGATCTAGCTGTAATACGAGAATGATAATACGAATAATCCAACGGAGTGCATTCGATGTTGCTGACGATGGTTGCGCGACTATTTCATCGCTCGTATTCACTTTTTTTCTCTCCGATGGTGGCGTTTGTGGTGAATATCTTGCTCGATTAACATGAGCATCGGGTTCATCTAAACTATTTCTTCTAATTTTTATGTCATCTGTTTGTGAGAATGATGTCCGACGATTTGATTCATGAGATACTGTCCGTCTTCTGTTTAGAGTATCAGGATCGGCACCATTTCCTTTATTTTGTTGTTGCTGCCCTTCCTTTTGTTTTACATCGTCCGATTCGGCAGAACTTGTTTCACACGAATCATCATTGACTAATGGTGTTGTTTGTGATAATCCTTTCGGACCGTCCATATACCATACCAAACTGAATAATGACAACGTCAAATTTGGAACGACAACACAGGCTAATGTTAAAATAAATAACCAGTAACTTCCTTCGCCATAATAGGCATGAGCCAAAATTATATCAGTCACCATATCGAAAAAAAATGCAAATACCTTTAAAAAATAAGAAAAAAAATTAGATTTCTATCTGTTGAATTCTGAAATGATTCACTGACCCCCCAAGCGTAGATAAACACTTCAAAAACATTGATAGTCATTGTATCGGGAATGAAATCAAGTTTGGTTGTTGCGGGATTTAAAGGCGATAGAAGAAGTGCACCACCTTGTACTGCAAGCAAGTCAGCGTCGAGTTCGAATAAAACAGGAATTTGTGGTGTTGCAGCATCAGCTATCGTTGGACGACGTGATTGTTGTTGTTGCAATTGTTCATCTGATAAATGAAACTGTAATTCTTGTGGTTCATTTTCACGAATTGGTGACAGTTTATTTGGAGATGAAGATGATGTTGGTTCTTCGGTGGAAGGAGCTACAGGCTCCGGTGGATTGTTGGTGCCTGTGGCAGCGATGACTTCTTTCCCAAGTAAACCGAGTGGATTTGCTCGAAATAATTCTTGGTGTGTAAGATCTTTAATTGACTGTAGCAGATTGAAACCGGTTTGTGCATGAGAGGGCAACGATTGATGATCATCGGATGTACTAGTGCCGGTGGAAATTGTTTTTGAACGTGGACGTATTTCAGTTTGTGATTGTGTTGGCGTCCCAGCAAGAGTTTCCGATCGACGAAGAACCTTGTCTTCTTCTTCATTAACAATCACAGGATTATTTTCAGCTAGAGAAAAAAACATATATATGATAAACAGTGCGCTTTTTGCTGAGTAAAAGAGATTAAATAAGTCGAAGACTTTCACTTGTCATCACATTTACAGGGTTCGTACTATCCACTTTCAAAAAACAGGAACAGGAAAGGATTTTCCCCTTCGAAAAACAGGAAAATTAATAATTTTTTTTAGAAATATAGAAAATAAGCGAATGCAGAAAATGACAAGTGAGATTTATCACAATGTGCTAAATAATGTATTGCTAGGCATAAACTAAAGATTCACTTGACGTTATTTAAAAAATTTTATACAGCATTCAAACATAGTCATAGATAATCATAGATATCAAGCTTATATCTCTTTTTATTTATTCGTCCAGTATTATTATTGTTGTTTTCTTCCATCTTCCTCTTTTTCTATACGTACAACAATTAGAGATGGATGGAACCCGCCCTTTTTAGTCCCGTTTCGCCTGTTTGGTACTGATGAAAATTTTGGCCATAGAACATGAAAAAACTTTCCCTGCTGGTCGAAAGTTTAATGCGGCTTTTTACTATTGTACTGCGTTGTAGAGCTTTTTACGGCGTTGCAAGAAAAAATGTTGACAGTAAAACAAGTTAGAAACTCACATTAGAATTTGATTCTACAATGAAAGTTTTACTTTTATGGAACCAGTTTTCTTGTACCTGGTCTCGGTCCAATCCCGCCGGAATCGGGACCGTCCTGCCCATGTCTGACAATAACATTATACTTCATTTTACTTCTCTCTACTCTTCATTTCTTCTTCTCTTTCATTTTTTTACTTCTTTCGTTTAGTATTTCGACATAAGTGTGTAGAATTTATACAGTCAATCTTTATGGGAACATTCTGATCCTGAGTGTAAACATCATTTATGTTAGCCTTCTCCTCTCTTGGTTGACTGAACGATAAAAGAAACTGAAGTAAGAATATTTCTCTAGCTGGCTGATTGGATTCACGTAAGTGGCAGAGACTTTCTGAAAGATTTTACCTCATCAAACGGTAAGACTGCAGAAAAACGTCAAAATGCAGGAAAAACAAGAGAAATACAAAACCTGCATCTACAATCATACCTATCTCAGAATCGACTTCACTCATGTTTTGTATGTCATCTTGATTTGTAAACGGTTCATAACTATTGAATGACATTGGAACATACACATAAGGAACATTTAATAGCCATTAATCAAAAATCATCTTGTAAAAAATTCTCGAGACATGTCAAAACAGTAGTTAGGCAAAAATTTCATCATATATACGGCCAGAATTGTTGAGTAAATAAAATTTCGAACATAATTAAAAAATAAAATTTAATTGTCTTTAATGAGATGCCACGATATTGCCAAAATCCATCAAATAAAATAAATAAACACAAAAATTAGTCTAAAAATAATTTATATCATCTTATCATTTATATATTATATTATTTATATCATCTAAAAAAGAACACATAAATTAGAATATCATGGGTAAACTAATCAACAAATCGAAAAATCATGAAGTTCTCATTTAAAGTAGATAAACGATAAAATAAATGAGAACTACTAGCCATAGAGTTTGCTCGTATAATAAACTAAATGGGACGTATAACGTCCATAACTATAAATGTTTTATTAATAAATAATGGCTGTGATTAGATCAACAGCTAATATTCAACAACAATTATGTTCCAATCTCAGATACAAATTTATCTGAGTGGAACTAACATGAATTGAAATAAAATTATAATTTTTTTATTAACACTATTCTCACTAACTATTGATCAATATTTAGTGAAAACAATAAATAACACATTTCTTAACAATATGTACAACAACAAAAAAAGAAATTAAAGAATAACCTATAATGTTTCTTGTGTTTCATGTTTTAATAGTGTTTATAAATCGCTCAATTTCTTTTTCAACACATTTAAACACGATAACACAACTAAAAGAAAGAAAAAAAGAAATTGACGAATGAATATAACATTTTATTCTATCTATTATCGTACTTGTTTCAGGTTTAAGTGCACCAATTGATTCAACATTGAAATAATATTTATTTGGACTTTTATTTGGATCAAATTGGCCTTGATGTTGATCTTCTGCTAATTCGGAATGTTCTGAATGAGGCCATTCTTCTGGTACAGGATAAACAGTATGTCGTAAAATATTATCGGGATCATATTCAAATGATACACCACATGTCGGTATCCATTTAGCATGTTCTTTACCAAAACCTTTTCGTGCATAAGCTTTCAATTTTAACTCTTGACCTTTACGTAATTTAACAATTAAAATATCTAGAAATAAAAATTTTCTTTTGATATGAAAAAACTGAAAATAAAACATTTAACATACGTTCAACATATAAATCTTGTGTTTCATCATCATTTTTTGAACGTGATGTTACAGGTACTAAACGTGGATCAGCTGAAATTAAATCAGCAGTAGTTACCTAAAAATAAGATTATAAATAATATTTTATTTTTATTTAAATAATTTATTTTCATACATTTCGTGTTGATTCATCTTTATTTTTAACATCCAATGTTAATTCTACAGCACAACTCGGACAGTATCCTTCACATGTACAATCACGATGATATAACATTCTGTCGACTAATTCTTCACTATATAATGGAATCATTCCAATTCGATGTGCCAAAAACTCATCAAATAACACTGTGGTATTCGAATCTATTTGTACACTATCAATAGCTAAAAGTTAAAAAGTGAAGTGCAAAATAATAGAATAGAATATTAAACAAATTACCTATTATCGGTGTTTCGGCTATCATACATCGTCTTATTCCATTTGCCACGCTTAAATCAGTATTTTCAACTATAAATTTGATATTGTCCTCTGTTACTTCGCTAACATTAACAGTTGGGGTGTTAGCATAAGGCATTTTTAATCTGAAAATAAAATGAAAAAAAAGTTAAACTAGAAAAATATTGAATAACTGAAGACTTCTATTTAGTGATGAAACATACATAGGTAGCACAGACTTTTATTATTATTCTCGAGGCAGCCAGTATAACTGCACAACGAATGGGAAGACAGAGTTTATAGTTTGATAATGCTGTTTTAATTCACTTTTCCAACCTTGAACTAAACCATTGCTGTCTACAATATTTTGGCAATAAATTTTGTAGAACAGAATAATTTTCTATAATGCTGTCGCGATAAACCAGCTTCATTTTTAATGCCTCTCTTTACTGTTCCCTTCACCAGGTACTTCCATCTTACTGTTAATAGAGAAAAAATTTACTCTATTCAAATAGTTCATAGATATCGATAGAATTCAGCGTTTTGCCTAACTTTATTAAAAAATTTACAGCTGTTAATGTTTATTTATTCTTATCATTGTGTACGAGGAACTGTACTAAAAGTTATTCAATAACATAAAAACTGTTCCCTCAGACTCGAGTCACCATTAGTTGTATATAACAAAAAAAAGAGAAACGCTATATATATATATTCAACAAAAGGTGAGGCGATTATTGGATGATCATAGACATGATAAAATACTCGAATCAGAGAACAAGATAAACCCATCAAACACTACAGCGGAGAGGCATAATCTTTCAATAAATTAGTTATTTGGCATGCGAATGCTTATCTCATCGGTCAATCACAAGAAGTATTTGAAACAGAGTCATTTTAGAACTCGATTTACTAACTAAGAATTGATATTGCGCCAACTTAAAAAGCCGTCGTACGAACATGGCTTTACGGACAGAGAGGTACTTTTCAATCCTGTATGACGGAACACATCACAAAATGATGTGAGATCTTCGAAACAACGATTGATATATTAAAATCAAAGTGCATGTGAAAAGCAACAAAAATAATGATTTGCTAAAAATATGCCATTTCGGTTAACCATACGCCTTTCTTCGTGAGGAGAAAATAAAAGATTTTAATTCTCTGCCATCTCTTCGTAAAGAACAGAGCGACATCTTTTAATCGACGATGGAAAATAATTGATTCTTCTATTCTCAGTTCATTTTCGTTAATAGAAACGTGCTACCAGACAAAAGTCTGATTATATTTCAAAAGATTAAATGTTTCATAAGATATATACTCTTGAATCTCGAAAACGTTATTGTTTGATATGTTCATAATCAGCGCTTTCTTTGCATAAACCAAAATTAGTAAGTTTTAAAGATCCATCGTCAAATATGAGAGAATAATACAGTATGCAAATTAACATTACAATAAGAGGCTTGAATTTTGAGGGAAATACTCCCCTCCCCCAAAGGTCACTTCCTATTTAGGGTCCTGATTACAATACCCTTAGTGAAACTTCTTGTAACCAAGATCTTGACTTCTCGAATTATTCCGTAAGATTCCGATTCAAGACCTTGGTAAGAAAATGTAAGAATTCAAGGTCTTGAACATCTTGTAATTTCTTGACTTCTTGTACCAAGATCTTGGATACAAGGTTAAAAATATAGTCTAGTCAATTTTGTTAAGACAGAAACAGTTAGTATCTCTATAAGACAGTTATATGAAAAACTATTGCATAGGTCGATTAGTTACTTCAAATTCAAAACAACTACCTAATAACTAATTATTAAACCGATCGAGTGAAACTTGAGGAGGTTTATTATTCTGTTTCACCATAAAAAACTCTTCTTCTCTGAAATGATAGGAGACTTATTGCGGGGACGAGATGATTCGAAAGTAGAGCAACTGTAGATGACTCATCTAAAGCCAGTTTTTCGATTTACGTTTTGATTGTCACATAATTACTCCCACAAAATGAGTAGGTATTTTATAGAACTTAATCGATTTCTTCATGAGATTCACGTGATACTTAACAGTGAATACAGAATATATTGCAGTATAGCAATACTTGTTGCTTAGAGTATGATGAAATAATGAATCAGTTGACGCAGGCTTGTTACGTGTGTAACAGTTTTGATTACTAAATCTTTGAATACCTATTATAGGAATGTATACATAAACTGAAATTATAGGAATAGATTATTCTCAGCGTTTGATGATAGTCTAACAATTAAATAATATAATGGTATTCAATAGGGAGATGCCAAATGAAACACAATCCAGGCTGTCTAGGGTGTTCAAATGGTGTCTAAAGTGTCTCTAAGAAATATTTCATTTGATCAGCTTTCTAACAGACTAGAGACCAACTACCGCATAGTAGTTAGCCTCTAATCTTTCTTTTCACACGCTATTGTTTCTCAAATTAGCCAGTCATTCTCCGCTAATTCTAATCGTAGAGATTTGGTAATAAGATGATTCGACAGTAGAGATGTTGAAAAGAACTTTGACAAACACGTATGGGTGAAATAATAAGTAATTACAGCAAAAAGTTAGTCGCACAAATATGTACCAAGTAATGTTTTATGATGTGATAAATTGCTTGTTAATCATATACTTAACTCTTTCCATACTTTTGTAAAAAGTTCCTAGGACTTGTTCGTTTTCCGAAGGAAAAGAAAGTTTATATACGAGGATTTTTGTGGTTTGCAGAGGGTTTTTTGTCAGTAGTTGTAAACTTTCGGGGTGAAATTGTGATTGACCAAATTTCAATATAAATTTGGTGTTTACAACTACTGAATGGATTAGTAACAGACAGTGCATCTGATGTTTTTAGACACAAGTTTTAAAAATTATTACCATATATTATTACATGTTCTATATTATAGTCCAACAGTTCAGTAGGAAGTTCGTAGAAGCAACGCTGACAAGCTTTTTAATTGGCTCTAGCCTCAAAATCCTTGTTGAATATTATTTTCAGTTGATGTCTCTCATTCTAAATGAAATATGATATTTATCTATCAATTTTTTAACAAAAAAAAAGATTGGATTCTATTCAAGAGAAAAAAAAGAGAAAAATATTCGATTTACTTCTTCATTTTTATTTTTTCTAAGCATAATTTTTTCTTCTACATTGAACATTTGAAATTGTCAGCAAATATACTTTATAGTTTAAAATAAAATATGCCAATTGACAATCTGTTCATCCACATACTTCTATGATTCTGGTCTAGAATTATGGGTTTTTTTTTTTCTTCTTTTTGTCACATACTGAAGTTGAGTTGAGTACACAAGTTCATCTGTTATCTTTGTGATATATATATACATTTACATTTCATGAGATGACTTATAACATCAAGACATCTTCGAAAAATTGTAAAGAGTTAGCTAGAAATCACTATTAAATATCACATTGTCAAACAGTGAAGAACGAGCTTAATTTGTTTTGTTCATTCATCTGATATTTAACGTGTCATACAGTTAGTTTCTATAATATTGATTTCTTAAATGTTCTCTTATAACTCTACATGACATTAATACATATTAAAATAGTGAGATTTATTACGTTTTAGATGCAAAAGTATCTTTCTGGTTTTGTCCGAAACAAAATAAAAATTTAAAAAAAAAAAAAAAGAAAAAAAAAGAAGTAAGCACAAGACAAAGTTTAAAAATGTATTAGCTTGTAATCACTGTTACACATTTACACAGGAAGTAGGCTAGAGAAAAGACAAAGGTAGTAATTAATAATTAATGTTTTCATAATTTATCCAAAGGAAAAAAAAAATGAATCTAAAAAATGTCTACAAATTGATACTTTCAGTCGGACACAAAAAAAAAGAAAAATGAGAAAAAATCATTTAGTGGTAAAATAAATTTTCTTACTTGTTTTTTTCTCTCTCATAGCAATAACACACAGATCGATTTCTTCTTTCTCGTTTTTTTATCCTCTTCCCTCCCCCATTATCGTTGTTATTTAATAAAGAAACGAATAGACTATTTGATTTCTACTTATTTAGCACTTTTTTAATTGTCTTAATTACATTTGCTACTTGTGGCAATGAGTTATGTTCAAGAGTTTTTGCATAGGCTAATGGTACATCTGCTCCAGTCACACGTAATGGTGGTGCATCAAGATAATCGAATGCATCACCTAAATTAATAAACAGTTATTATTTTCTTTCAATTTTCAAAACTTTTTTGATAAAAAAAAACTCAACATACTTTCACATATTCTTGATATAACTTCAGCTCCAATACTACATTGAGGCCATCCTAATTCAACTGTTACAAGATGATGTGTTTTTTTCACTGACTGTTTAATTAAATCTTCATCGAGTGGACGAAGTGAACGAAGATTAATTACCTAAAATAAAAATAAAATATCAACGTAATATATTTATAAAAGTATAATTCTTACTTCGCATTCAATACCATTTTGTTCTAATTCTTTTGCCGTTTCCAAACATAAATGAACACCTTTTGAATGAGAAACAAGTGTAACATCTTTTCCTACAAAATAGAAATGAATAAAGTAAGTACAATAAGGATTTTTGATATAGTATTCACATTTTACCTTCTCGTTCAATTTTTCCTTTTCCAATTGGTAATACAAAATCAGGTGATAATGCTTCTTCGGATATAGGAAATTGTAAACCATAAATAAGTTCATTTTCTAAGAATACGACTAAAAACAAATAAAAAAAAAAAGAAGAAATGAATATTATTTGAAAAGATTAATAATTGTATAGATTATTTAATTTATTTCTCACCTGGATCATCATCTCTAATTGCTGCCTTTAATAATCCTCGACAATCTTCTGCTGAATAGGGTGATATAACTTTAAGTCCGGGACATTGACTATACCATGAAGCATATTCTTGAGAATGTTGAGCTGCTACACCCATTGCCGCTCCATTTGGTCCTCGAAAGACAATCGGAACTTTAACCTAAATAAATAAAAATTATTTATTATTTTATCTAAAATTTATTCTAAATATTCATTAATTTATACTTTTCCTGAAGACATATAGTAAGTTTTTGCTGCTGAATTGATAACATGATCAATTGCTTGCATAGCAAAATTAAAAGTCATAAACTCACAAACAGGACGTAGACCAGCCTTAAAAAAGACAAAAATATCATATTTATTTTCATAGAATTTTAATTAAAAATAAAATGTACCATTGCAGCTCCAACAGCTAAACCAGCAAATCCCATTTCTGTAATGGGTGTATCAATAATACGTTTATCACCATACTTTTTCCATAAACCTTTTGACATCTAGATGATAAATAAAAAGAATAAAATAAAATAAATAATTTAAATTTAAAAAAAAATTTATTTTTACTTTATAAGCTCCATCATACTGTGCAACTTCTTCACCAATTAAAAATACACGATCATCACGTCCAATTTCTTCGTCCATTGCATTTGTAATAGCTTCACGAACTGTAATCTAAAATCGTTAGAATAAAATAGCTAAATCAATCTAATATCAATAAAATTATATTAGAGTTTAATTTTAATTTACCGTTTGTTGTGCTGCTAATGTTTTCTGAGAAGTGGATAAAAATAATCGTTGACTTAGAATGAGATTCTTATTGCACTAAAAATATGAGAAAAAAATTTAAAATATTAAAGAATAAACAAATAAAAATGATTTACTTTTAAAATGCCTGTGACTAGTTCCATGATTAATAGAAAATAATTTTAATCTATTATAATCGAAAAATAAAACAAACATTTGAAGAAATTATTAATTTAAGATAAATTAACTTGATACGTTAAAAAATCAGATGACTATAAACTGATCAATGACAAAATGCTCTAATATTCGGAGAATAAACAAAACTCAAATTCTACCTACTAAGAGGTCAATAAACGAAAGAGATAAATCCCAATGAGTTTCCGACTCTCTTTCGAAGAAAGAAAAACACATAAATCGGTCTAAAAACTCTGTTAATATCAAAGTTCAGCACACGTTACAGAGTGTCAGATAACTGTCAACTATAAAAAAACAAAAAACAAATAATGGAAAAATTTAGAAGAAATGAATTTCGCTGTTTTTAACTCAAAATGAGAGTAATGTCATTGATTTATATCTCTCAATGAAATTTTTCAACTTATTAGAATACGTTCTCTTTCTTTTCGATAAAAGTGGAAAAATTTCCGATTGTACACTATGATTTTTGGAGCAGAAGAAGAATCTTTTTCTCGAGTACAAGTGCGAGTATGATCATATTGGTATGTGCACAAAAGACATTGGATAATCGTAACTGATGCATGCTTATATAGAGAAACAAAATGAACAGATTATTGTTCAGTGTATGCCACTAAGTAAATAAAAAAATAGAAATGCGTATAGTTTTTCTTTTCTACGATGTAGTGCGTACTGCTAACTAGGGGCGTCTATCTCCACCTGAATATTTGAGGTATTTTGTACCATCTCGAAGGTTCGATCACGCAGTGTATCACCTAAAAAATTAATTTCTACAGCAAAAAAGCGTACCACCTTACAGAATCGACACCCCCTGTGTCTGACCATCACGTAAATAAGATCGTTAAAAGTGAAAAATGCACAAAAACAGGACCGCTATCCTTTCAACAAAACTGATACACTGTAGAAATATTTAGTACCTATTGTGAGAGATATAAAATTTTAAGGATCTACTTTATAGGTCAACGATTTTGTTCAACGCCCGAGTAGTGTTCATATATCGATAATCTAATATTTCATTCTCATCATCAGTTTTGGATCAGGTTTTTTTCCAACAATAGACTCAGTTTTCAATAAAGTTGGAAAATACAGGCATTGTTGTTCGCCAATGATGAAAAAAAAAAATGAAAAATTGACGAGTTATGAATGTAAATGTCAAGAGTAAAAAGTCGCTCTTTGACGTGACATCACTATCATAGGTTAAAGCGTACAACAATATAATTAGTCAATACACATTATATGTACACAAAAACATGTCTTTTACGCTAACTTTCACAGAAAAATTATTCAGTGAGCAAATAATAGTTAAAGAGCTAGACAATTCATTTTCATCTTGTGCTTTCGAAACCAAATATATGGTATTCACATTTAATGAACACTTTAACACATTAAACTTCTATTCGATGACTTTTGTATTAACAAAAATAAATGAATAAGTGCAGTATATACAATTCTTTGCGATATTTCAAAAATCTTAAGGTTAACAATTTTTCTTCTAAACGTCAAACGTTTGTGACAACAGTTATACTGAGTATTATAATGAAGAATGCTCTTTTTAGAATAGACTATTGTAAAATATTTCACTTTAAAGTTTGATAAGATTTTGAGAAAAAAACTATTTTAAAAACCTCTAGAAAACGTAAAAATTTTCATGCTTTTCCTAACAGTATGTTTGCAAATTTATTTTTTTTTTAACTTTTAAACACCAAAATTCAGCTTTTTCAAAGTTGTACTCTTAAATTTTCAGATTTCAGTTTTCAATGAGGTTATTCCCTAATTTTTATCTTTCTATGAAAGTGTCCCATGGTTCAAGATGCATTTAGCGTCTATTGTTAAGAACCATTACAGCATATTCCATCATCGTCATATACAAATGACCTTTCAACTTTTGGGATTCAACTTGAAAGTTTCATGCATTGCCTCTAACGTTTTTCGGAACAGAAAAGCAAATTTGATAACTTAATTCGATTCTTCGTCGTTAAATTAAAAGACATAAAAACAAAAAGTTTAAGAAAAGAGGCACTCATAATGAGCCTTCCAACTGTTCTCCTTTTGGGGAACCAAACCCTCATTTTTATGATTTCCTTTTTGTTTAATTCAACTTCCAATAGAGGAAGGAGATCTGTTTTATGAGCTAATTTAGCTTCGATATATCTATGAATGATTCTCTTTACTCAGAGAAATAAAAATTCCAAATATTTTTAAAAAGAATGTTTGTTCTAATCTTAAATATTCACAGGTAATAGTTTATAAATAACTTAAATATTTGAAATAATTTGTTAACTTGTATGTAACCTTTTGTTTATTTTTTAGATGAAGTTAAGCATTGAAAAAAATTTTTTTCCTTCTTTCAGTTTTTCTTTCCTTTCGGAAAATTTACCTTGATCTGAAATTTTTACACTTGAAGAGCTCAAAAGTTTGGATTTAGCACAACTGATTTGAAGGAACCGACTTTAAAGGGTAACTAAGGGTAAAGGATTGGATTAGTCCTGGAGTGTAGATGACAGGTGGTAGCTGTAGAGATAATTTTATCGATATTCTTAAGCAGCTCATATATTTCAGTGAGTACTTGGATCTTGACTTAATCTTAGTAAAGGGTTCACTGAATTTTTGATATTTCACAAAAAGCTTAAAGACTTCGCTAGAATTGTCTTAAGTCAACGCTGTAGAATACTGCAAAATAAAACAACCTAAACACTAGCTTAGGTCTGTACTTAAGTTCCCTTCATGAGATTAAGAACTGGTGACAAGTATATTTTCCTTTTAGCTCCAAATAACAGCGTCACAAAATGGCTGACTCCAAAATGAAAAAAAGTATTATATGGAACGTATAAAAGCGACGTTACTGGATAAAACTGAAAATAATACCTTACAGACCCACAAAAACTATTCAAGATTTCATTAAGATTTTGACTGACTAATTAATTAATTTCTTAGAATGAGTTACAAATCTTGATCAAGTTTTTTCAAGAGCACTCTGTAGCAAAAATTGTCAAAATCGTGAACTGCAAGATGCATCTGCCAAGATCTTGATAGATGTCCAAAAACCTGCATAAGATGTTGAACTAATTGAGCAGAAACCTGAGAAACCTTTCAAGTTTTGATCAAGATCTTGGCTGAAGATTTTTGACCTCGGTTCACTTGTCAGCATATTTAGATTACATTTTGTTCATTTCGTCAACGTGATGATACCGTCAGCGATAGTTGACATTCTGCGAAGTGAATCTCAATCAAAATTAGTTCAAAACAAAGAAAATAAAGTAAAGAATGTGGCGAAAAAGACACAAAAGTGTTTTGTAATAAAGACTGATTGAAAGATAAATATTTCGAATTCTTGCAAGTAGTTGGTTATTATGAAACTAAAGCAAGGTGTTTAGCCTGTAAAAATATCCGTTAATGAAGGAAAGAGCGATTTAGATAGACATATTAATAGCGTCATAGTTCTGAGAAAATAGGTCTTCCGATTGTCGACACTTTGGTTTTCTGATTTTCAGGATTTTCCTTCTGATTTTGAAAAGTTTGAGTTGGTAACCCTGATTTTGCAGACAGAAAATAAAATTAGTTTGATGAAATACGGTTAAAAGCAATAGATAAAAAGGTGACGGCTGCTCGACCTAACAAGCAAAGAGATGAAAATTCTATCAACTTCTGTACGATCCAACTGTGAAATTCATTGATCCGGCCATAGTTTTTGCATAAAAAAATTTTTTGGCATCTTTCCACAAAATCCTGTACGTCAACCTATAAAAAATTTTTCCTCAACTATAGTCTGATTTTACCCAGTGCGGTATTTTTCCACCGAAAGTCACAGACAAACACGTTATTATCGAAAAGAATTTAAAGAAGTACTTAAAAAAAGCCTGTTTTCCTTTATTCTAAATATTCTCTTTGGGACTCGACTCAGTGAAGAGGATATACGTTACTGTATTCTGAAGTCCTTTGTTAAATTTCAGGTTTTTCAAGAACAACTATATTTTCTGTCGTTCAGAAAACTAGCGTACCATCGAAAAATTCAATCAGAGCAACTTCACAAACTTAGGTGACCTTGAATTTGTAATACAGTTGCTTTTCTTCATTAAGGCACATAGCGCTATGTGTCATCTACAATTTCCTGTAGACTCTATGTAAAAAAAGCAAACAATTATTATTTTGACGAATGTTCGATGATACGGGTATAAATAAACATCAAAGAGTCTACTAACATGCAAATTTCCTTTTAGCTCCTATGAGCTTCTGTTTGGAACTAAAAGGAAACAACGGATCAAACGGCCGTCATGTCCTAATGAGATGAGAGAGAGAGAGCTGTTGTTGTTTGAAAAGAATTATTGATAACTGGTTTGTCAGATATCCAATAAAAAGAGACTATATTATTCGTTTAGTAGAGTTCTTATGGAGTCTGATTCGTAGAAAGTGAATGAGAATCTGTTTGAGCCAATTAAATCTCAAGTTATTAATAAATAATCGTAATCAGTAATATTCAATAATATAAAAATAAAAATAAATATTAAATAAAATCTTGATAAAAAGAAGTAAATATGAATATAAATAGACATACAAATGGAATTCGGATTCTAGAGTATTAAACGACGACAATGATTTTATTCAAATCTTTATTTTATAGAAATATTCTATACAATAACGTCCAGTTTATATGCTCGTCTCAGTTCATTTCAATGTTATTTCATACAAATCTCATTATATTAATGTTTGACATGTTGCTATCATGTGACAACTTCATACTAGTGAAAATTCCAAGAAAAAAAATTAAGATGAACTGTGATGCGCATATAAATATGACTTTATCCTATGGTTGTAGGTGGAAAAAAAAATGTGCTTTGCCTTTTTGATTTGAAAAACTTAAAAGTAAATAAAAATTAAATGAAATTTCATATTGTTCTGTTCTTATCTTTACTTTATATGATCTATTAGAATTATGGAGGTATTTATCATTCGTTTTTTTTTTCTTCATAGAAATCAAATTTTTATATATATTTTTCTAATCAAAATCATACAAAGGAATAAGTTATTTTTTGAAAAATCAGGATAGTATAACGAGACATACTTTTAGAAAGAGAAAGTTTTTTACAGGAATTTGATAATTAGTGAAATTGTTGTGAATTTTAAAATATCAAAATTCACAACAGCTATACTAACTATTAAATTGTGTTATAAATCAGTGTCTGTACACCCTTTTAATAACGAACATTTTCTGTCACCTTCATTTCATTCAATGAATATTAACGAGATGTTTCTAACTGACAAAACAAGAACGAGAGAATTATTAGAGGTATTTTTCTTTCACTAGTCGTTTCACGATTATTCGTTTAATAGAACAAGTAGTACATGACACACAGATAGTTTTTGAATGAAAACAAACAAGAAAACATTTTTCAACTGGTCAAAAAATGTAGCTACAATTAACCGAAAAGTCAAAAGACTTAACAATCGTAAAACTAATATTTATTTCATCAAAGTTTATTTCGATATGAAGATATGGTTTGACAATTACAAAGCAGGGATAAATGATTGTACGCTATGAGAGCAGTTTATCCTATGGATGGAGGGAGTTAAAGGAAGAAAAAATAAACGAACAAGAAAGCAAAACTAGTAATAATCGTAAAGGAATGAGTGATCCGAATATGATTAAAAAAAAATAAAATCTCATTTTTTTTATTTTAAATCATTCAACCAATGAATTCTTCTGTTAACATCGAAAAATGACACAAAATAATATGAGCAGATTTTTCCATTTTCACTCATTTCTTTGAGTTTATAAGACATCAAATTAGACAAAAATTCCTGTGGACTATTGATTGACTTTTCAATTGTGTAATGGAAAATTTTAGTTAATAACACCATTTGATCATTAACTAGTCTGATATTAAGGACATTCGTCATATTTTGACTGTTTGAAATAAAAAAGAGTTTATTCACTTCCGTTTTACCATTTATAATTCAGTTTGTATGTGTATAACAATTTTGCTATGAATATGAAACATCTTATTGTTGTGTATTTTTTTCATTTATAGCTATTCGTTTGTTGATTTTATAGATATTAATTAATTATATTACTGTGATTGATTTATCAAACAACATAAAGAATGGGTGGAAAACAATCGATTTTAGACGAAGAAATTTTAAAAGATTATCAGGTATAATTTTCAAATTTTTTAATATATTTTTAATTTAAACAGGAATTAAGTTTTTTATTTTGCTGTTGTTATAGACATTAACTTTTTTAACGAGACAAGAAATACTGCAGTAAGATGAGAAGAAAAAAGGATTCTATGCAAAAATAAAAAGACTATTTGTATTCCTTCAATCGATTGTCAAATGCTTCCATCTATATTTTTTGCTCATATGTGAGATAAATATATAATTGTGCTCTCATTTGCCATAAAAGCTTGAATATCTATCTGTACATTCGTTTATTTTGCTATGATTTAATTATTGTATCTGTTTTGTTTTTGTGAGAGATACTACGTAAGAACATCAAAATGAAACTTAGAGTTGTTTTAAAAGACATATTTTGCTTGTTAATATTGATACGATCACATCTCTGCTATTATGACCAGATTTATTAAATTATGTTTTTATTGTATTTCTCAAAATGATGTACAAATATAATGACCTTTCGTTGATTCTTATTGTGTTCGTCATACTTCTTGCTGATCATCTATATGATTTATAATGATAAACTTATCGAAAACTTAATATTATCAATATATGTTCTCTATTCCAGAGTTGCAAGTCGATTTAGTGATCTATCACGTGCATCTGGGCATCAATCTAATCTCCCTTTACTTGAAAGAAAATTATCTAAAAATCTGCTTTTGAAGATTGAAGAATTGCATGTAAGTGTATAAATTTCTTTTCTATTTATTTTAAAATGGAATGTGTTTATATCTAATTTAGTCGAATCCATTTAATGATCGTATCATCGATGTATTCTCGTCTAATAAAGAAGATGGTTCATTTACATTCGAAGATTTTCTTGATATGATGTCCGTATTTTCAGAAAATGCACCAAAATCAGTCAAAATTAATTATGCCTATAAAATATACCGTGAGTTAAAAAAGAAATTAGAATGCTTGCTTAAATTTAATCAAAACTAGTATTCATTATTTTTTTTTGTTTTTTTTTAGAAGGAATATCAAAAACAACGCAAGGTGATACACAATTGATTTTTTGTGTAATTTATATCGCTAAAAGCTTCTTTGTTTTCTTTTTCTTTTTCAGAAACAACAAATGAAGATGCAATTGATCTAAAAGATATTGAAGAAATTATTTTTCGTTTATCTGGGAGAAAAATTAATAAAAATGAATCAAAACGCATTGCTAATTCTGTAAGTGACAAAAATTTGTTACTTGAAACAATAAATAGAATGTTTTATTCTTTGTCATTTTTAGGTTATTAATGAAGTTGATTTACGTAATGATAAAAAAATAACAGCTGAAATCTTTGAATATTTTTTAAGTAATGTACCAGATTTTCCAACGTAAGTCGTATATAATTAGTAGAGGTCTGCGGAACGATCCTAATTCCGCGAGACTGTTTAGAGAACTGGAAACCAAAAAAATCTTTTTTACAGGAGCATGACCGGGACTAGATTTTTTTGAAAATAATCTTGTATGAAACATAAAAATTTATTCGTTTCTGTAGCTTTTTGACACTAGTTTTGTGAGAAGGAACTTACATAAAATTCTAAAAGTCGTCAGTTGATAATCTCATCGCAATAGTGTGTTGTTTCTAGATTAGTTTGAATCATTGTTTGTGAAAATAGCTAAAACTACAATAAACTTTCTTCTAGAATTTAAACAATTGAAAAAGGAAAAATGTCTACTAATGAAAGTTCATGGTTGAATACTATTCATACTATACTATTTTTCATAATATATTATTTTTATCTATCAAAAAAAGTCATCATCAAGTGTTGTAGTCGTTGCTATTTCATCGTTATCATTTTTCTTGTTATTATCATCATCTTGCTCTTCATATTTTCGTTTTTTTGTTGATGTTCTTGAACTTGTGACTTTCAAACTATCAACACTACTTTTAAAAAAATATTCACGAGATTACGGAATCGGTACCAAAAACAAGTTTTTTCTACAAGACCGAGTCCAGGACCAAAACTTTTTTTCTTCATGGAATCGAGACCAAAAACGTTTGGTCCTCCAGACCTCTAATAATCAGTGATACGAGGTTAAAGTTGATTATTCTTTTTCCTAATAGTCGTAGTCTATTATAAAATATTTTGAGATATCATTTTTGTTTTATAGAACATTTTGTATACCATTAAGTGATGGAGTACAGGATACATATACCAGAGAAGAAGCTTATCTTCCCATCACAAAAATTACGAAACCTACTACTGCATTTGTCACTCAACAAGTTAATGAAGTACAACAACATCAAACATCGACACATAAACATCAACATCGATCAAAAAAACGTCGAAGTCGTTCACGTCAAGGTCGTGAACATGGTAACGCAGTACAACATCGATCAAACCATTAAACAAAGAACATTAAATTGACAACATTTTTTAGAAAAACCTACGCATGTATGTTAAAGTATAATGGGTTTTTTCGTCGTTTTTTTTTGTACTTTTTTAAATGTAAATCTATTTCTTTTTCCATATAACACTTTAACCAGTTGCGATGATCAATTATGCATGCACACACCGTCCGACATATTAAAATTTATCAAAAATTCTCGTGCGATGGACTAGAAATAACAGTTCGGAACGTCTAAATCTATTGGATGTTATTAATAGAGATTTTTTTTATAATGTGGAATGATGGATCTAGTTTGAGCAATAAAAGTTTGTTATTTCGAAGTTAACACTTTCAAACTAGGCATTTGTTTTGACAGCATTTTTTATTTTGAAAATTTGTATTTTTAGATTTGAAAAAAAAAGATGACTGCTAGTACGTATGCCCAACGTATGCTTCGTTTAAGTCAACGTATATTTACTGAATATCCAAAAATAACATTTTCAAGAAAAGATCATCGTGAACAACACGCTGATTTCTTAAAACTTTTAGAAGAAAGACCACATACATCGGGTATTCTAACATCCATGAATTATTATCCACGTCATCAAGAAATTCATTATCTAATGGAAGCATTAAGATATCATGGTTTATACAGGTATATTCTTCTTCTCTTTTTTTTGCGCTTGCAAATAATCGCATTTACACTTTATTATTTTTTAGAAATGAACATAAAGACTTTCAAGAAGAAGTTAAACGTTTAAGAATTTTACGTGGTAAACAGCGAAAAAATATTCGAGCCATGTTTCCACCACGATTACCTGAACTTGCACCGTGTTGTAAACCGGAAAATAAAACTTAAACATTTGTTTTTCATCACAGAATGGAGTTGTATTTTTTAGTACAGTTTTTTATATTATTGTGTATCGTCTTTTTGTTGTATTAAAACTGGATAAAATCATTTGTCTTCTATATTATATATTTTTTTGTGTTGTTAACAAAGGAAGACAGTTGTAACTGTTTGTATAAATTGTGATTTTGTTCCAATCGTGAGAGTAAAGACAAGTGAGTAATGTTTCGAAACATCAAGTCTAACTACTATTCATTTTAAAATAGAAGAGAATTGAATATTTTGTGAACAATTTGAGAGATAAAGATTTGCAGTTTTCGATATTTTCTAGCCAATACCTGATCTGTATCGATTAATAGAAAAAGTATGACCAAAGTAGTATCGTTGAAAGATGGTCTATCTCATGACTCTTCGAATAAAATATGATTATTTTTATTGTTTTATATAAATGACCTAAACTGTGATATTTTCCTCAAAACATCTTTTCAATCGATTTTTTTCACTTAATTATAAAACAAATGTCGGTCAATAACTTAATGTTTTCATTTATTTTCAAACTTGTATAAACGTGCTCAAATTCGAATCGGAGGCTTCTCTTAAAATCGAATCTTCACGAAACAGTGATAGATGAAAGTCCTTGATTTTGCTGGATTATACAGATGACACTTTAAATTATCACACTTGAGGAGGACATAATACTAGTGTGGAAGAATGTAAAACCTTGTCTCTCGAAAATTGATGAAGTATAACACCTTTAGGTGGTATTTTTGTCCGAATTACTTTACTCCATCAAACGATACAAATCAGATATGGGCTAAAAAATGTCGACAACTTCTCATTTTTCTATCAAACGTTAGGCAAAGTACATCCACGATCTTTTTTATCTGAAATGGGCACTAGTCGAGATATGGTAGGTCAAGGAAAATCTGTTTGTTCTTATTTCATTCTCACTCTCATGCAATAAGGAAGCAAGAAGTTAGTCCAAATAGTAGAGACAAAGACTTCTCAACTGTATCTGCTGTTATATTAGTTTTGGCAGAAAAGGAAAGTGATTTTATGTGCATAAAAATTTGTCATCTAGATTTGACAGCCACTGACAATCTGATGTGATTCTAAGATTGTGCTTATTTTCTTTCAAATCGCTTTAAATTCTTATTAATATTTCCAGTGTGAAAAAGAGTTGTGGAAAGATTTTGTAAGGTTAGTTGTTCAAACTTTGTATCACATTATCTTTGAGATGTGATTAAAATCTACGTTGAAAAATGATCTTCCTTTTACTTTTTAGATGGAACTTTATCATTATGGTCAACTATCACTATTCCTACGTCGTTTAAATAAAAAAGTACGAATATATTGACCTTTTTACATTTTTAAAAAAAACTAAGTATATTTAATGTAATTGAAAAAAAATTTTCGTAAAATCATTTTACATAACAAGCGAGTTTTTGATAGTTTACAGTATCATCGTCAAATTAACATGACTGTTGATTTAGAAAGAGAGAGATGATCATACACATTAGACACATCTCAAGGAAGTATCCGCTCTCATTTCCTCTTTAATTTCTTTATTCACAATCTCCCTTTTTTTGCTCTTCGCCAGGAATAAATATCTCTATGTATGCTGATGATCTAGCGAGCCTGTCCGAATGTTTCCATGCTAAGCAAGGAGAAGAAGTGCTACAGGTGTACTTCTTCCTCGTACAGCTATGTTTGTTTACAAAACTTTTCCCCGTCTTCTCTTGACGTACATTCCTCCGTGTCTCTTGTGTATTTCTACTTTTAGCTGGATTAAACTTCAATACATACAAAATGCTAGTCTAAAAATCGCTCTTCGTCTCCCATCATGTTTATCCTACTCATGAACTTCATAAGCGTGCTTCTAGTGTATTATTAAAAGATTTTGTTTTTAAGTTGTCTCGTTCTTTTACTATGTACGCTTTTCTGTCAAATGACACATACATTTCTAAATCTTGTTTTTAACTACTTTCTTTATCAAGAAAAGTATGAAACAAACATTTAACTGTTCGTTTGTTTGTAATACTTTTAACCTTATCCCTACTGCGTCATGAAAGCGGGCAATAGACCTGATTATGTCTTTCGTAATAAACCATCATCAATATTTCAATACATTAGATAGAGGGATAAAAAATAAAATAGAATACAAGAAAATATACAATAAAACTAAGTGCCTGTTCAGCTTTTCCTTACAAGAAAAATAGTATGAGAAATATCATAATATTTCGTTTTTTCCCGTTTTTTTATCATTAATCGGATCAAAAGTAGGATAAATAACCGAAAACATTATATTCTTTTAACATAATAACTATAAACTATTAAAAAATCTTTCTTTTCTTTTTTCTTCTGACATCAAAACATGAGTTTGTTGAACTTGACAAGTATTTTTGAACCGATACGATAGACGATTGTCTTCTCATTATTCTAAAAAAGCGACAATATAACTTTGATAAATGGGGTGATATCTCAACTAAGTTTCCTTGAAGAAGTGACTCTGTTTTTAACACAGCAAAGAATACACAATTGACAGAATCATTTAACGGAAAAGACTAGCTCGGTGTTCTGTCACACGGACCAGATCTATTTTCTTCTTATTTTTAGTCTCTTTTTCAATATTCTTCACGACAATACTCATTTAACATTCGAACATTAAATAACAACTCGTTACTTCTACAAAGTCAAGATTTACATTCAACAATTGTCCATCCGTGTCATCATCCAATTTCTCATTATCAACAATTAATAGTCAAACGAGAGTTTTCATGGCAATTCTGGAAACAACAGCCAATAGCAACAACAAATCCAAATGATCTTATTTTACAATCAACATCAACAGATCCATTGGAAAACAAATTTAATTCTGTGACAATACAACCGCCTATAATTGATGAACCATCTATTGTTGCGGATGAGCTTGGTTATATTCCTGAACCTCCACCAATTCCGTCTGATATACCTATTGAATTTTTGTTAAATGCTGCTGGTGAGCCATCATTAACAACACTTGGATTTACCAAATGGTATTTCCCAACTGGATGGGTTCAATATGGTTTAGAATATTTGCATGCCGATTTAAACATGCCTTGGTATGCAGCGATAATGCTTGGTAGGTTCAAAAATCTAACTTAATTGAAACAGTATGTGGTTAATTATAGCAAATTGTAATCAATTATTTTAGGTACATTCATTATTCGTTTGTTGACAATTCCTATTGCTATTTATAATCAAAAAAATGCTGCGAATATGGCTAAAACAATGCCAAGGATACAAGAACTTCAACAAAAATTAACCGATGCACGAGTACGTGGTGATCAAATAGCCAGTAAGAAAAATCATATTTATTTTTTTTCCTTTTTCTGTCCAAAAGATATGTATATTTTTTCTGTTATTTTAGTATTGAAAGCGACTTATGAGCTCATGGAACATATGAAAACGAGTAATATGAAACCATGGCGTGCAATGATCGGACCATTTTTACAGGTTAAATAACAGAGCATCTTTTTTTTGTCAATCAATATTTTGATATGATTTGTTTAGATGCCTGTATTTATTTCATTTTTCTTGGGTATACGTGGTTTAGCTAATTATCCACTTGAAAGTATGATGACTGGCGGCGCACTATGGTTTACTGATTTAACCGTGGCTGATCCATTTTATATATTACCGATTGCAACAGCATTTACTCTTTTCGCCACACTAGAGGTAAAATTGTGTTTATTTATTTATGATAACTCTTAACTAAAGCTTTATTTTTTATTCTTTAGCTGGGTATAGAGACAGGCATGCGCACAACCAATCTTGGACCATTGGGAAGAAATCTTATGCGTGCTGTACCATTTGTTACTTTGTTTTTTACATGCAAATTTGCATCTGTGAGTACTTTTGTATCATAGCATGACTTTGACTCGTATTCATTATGTAAATTGTGCGCACATTTGAAATTCGTACGTTCGAATAATTTCGATACGCAAAGAAACTGTTATACTAAACAATTCTCAAATTCAAAAATTACATTTTCTCAAAAATGTAATCTTGATCTTTTTATGTCATCAGGCTGTCACATTATACTGGCTAACATCAAATATTGTAACATTGATTCAAGCTATAATACTTCGACAACCAGCTGTTCGTACATTTTTAAAAATACCGGACTTACCTCCAAAAGAAGATATTCCGAAAAAAAAGAAAAAAGGCTGGACTGCTATGACTGATAGTAAGCATAAAACATACAATATATCGATTTTAAATAAGATTAATGACGTCTTTAGATCTTAAACAAAGTAAACTATTAGCTGAAGTTGAAAAACGTAAACAAGCAGGGTACGATAAAAAATCTTGATAAATTGTTATTTCATCAGTATCTTTTTATTATTCTGTTTTTTTAGTGACGACATATTTCGACGTGCTGGTATTAGTTCACCTGTGCCAACATACAAATATGATCCGACAAAAGTAAAAACAAATAATCCGCCACAAATACGTAAAATATAAAATTAAATGACTATGTCACTTGTCGATATAATCATTTATT